CCAAAGTAAATAAATATACACGTCTCAATTTGACGATTACAATTCACTTTAGACGGTTATACTTTAGTCCTTGGTCTATAATAAAACAGTTCTTATTTAAAGTGTTTTACTTTATCTAAAGTATTTCAACTGTTGAACAAACAAACAATCTAATATTTGCAAGTTAAAATATTATTATAGATTTATTATGTTACGCTTAAACGACTATAAACTATAAAACTAGAGTTCGATTATTTTCTTATTAATTTAACGTATTTCAAAAACGCTCTACAATTGACTAACAACGAGACGTTTGATAAAAATAACCTGCCGGTTTCAAATCAGTAAAACTACGTCTTCACATTTTACAAAGTACAATTAATGAGACCGACTCAATTCAAAGTAAGCTTAACACAGCTGTTTCTATAATGCTTTATGTCGTTCACTCAATTAACAAAATGATTCATTCCAAAGTAGCATTTGCGTGGTAAAGGTGGGGTGTCAGTGACAGCGGCGAATTAATTAGGCAACTAATTTGTTCTGTTACCGAAAACTTTGTCAACCATCCGAGATGAACGGGGGGTCAGTCCCGATTGAATTAAGCCGTTGATTGAGATCATTCGATTTGTCTGTTATTGTGAAAAGGCCTTTGCGTAACTGTCTTTGAACTAAGTTTCTTGCATAATATTAATTTTATAACACATTTAAATGGAAAAATATACTTATCTTGGTATGCTACCAATATTTTATTACGTTTTTTTTATTTAAATACCACTAGGATTAAAATGTATAATTTAAAACTTCAACGAAAGGTTGAAATTAGTAAAAAAAAAATGTTTTTGTTTTAGCATTTGTATTAAAATGAATTTTATGTCAAAAAGTAGTTAACTGTGTTAACAGTATCCTTTTTAACAGTCTGTATGTATGTTATACACATATACTTTTATAGTACGTATGTTATTAAAAGCTTTAAATTCCTCTAAGCTGGATTAACGTCGGTCCCGTTCACTGAAATCAACCCTCTTTTAAAAGATAGCACGACTGCAGATTCTTTATATATTATATATTAAATATTGTAAAGTGGGCTGTTCTTTCTGTGTGTAAGATGATTGTTGTGAAAAGTACGATTTTTCAGTTAAAAATTGTTGGAAATGTATCTGTGACCTTTTTCTAGTAGTTTCCAAGGATGTAATTTAGATTTTTTTTAATTCTATCTCATTTATTATAAAGCCATAACTGTGTTATTATCATAAGCAGAATAGATGCTTTGGTATACCAACTTTTAGTATTATACATAAAAATATTACAGTGTGAACTAGGATGTAGACATTTTGGGATATATTAATCAGCTTGCCCAATAGGTATGTCATTTTTTTATGCCTGAAAAACAACGAGAACCAGTATGCAGTTCAACCGTTAAAATAATTAATACGTATTCGTAGGTGCATCACATGGGTATAAACAATCTCATTAGTTCAACCGGTTGAACTAATTGGGTGAATTAGTGGGAAGGAAAGAAAAAATTATGTTAAACGAAAACAATATTGCATCCGTGAGAAGCTAAGGCTGGGGCTAGGCTGGCTAGGGCTAGTTGCTCGAGCTCCGGCCTTCCCTATGGATGAAATCGAATTTAACCAAATAGGGAGAATTTGCCGTAACCCGCCACACGGGCCCAATCCGGATTAGTGGGTGTTAACGCCTGCAATTGCAGCCGGCACTAGCCACCGCGTCATCGACGCTACTATTTCAATATATATTAAACTTTGAGGTGCAATAAGCAACGCTAGCTCGTAAGTTCTGCATAATGGCCCATTAAAATGTAGTAAGCACTGAATATGGAAGCGTTCAGTACAAATTTTCATATATAATGAAATGTGCTCAGTGAAACATTGTAATTTAACTGGTAGCACGTACACGAATAGTCGTGGATGTTTATATGAAAAAATGCTTTATTACCTTGGTCCATACAGACTACATAGTTAAAGTAACTAAATATGGAATGCTGAAATTACTCACCAATTTAATCTATATTGAATTTTCAATACAGTTTACAGTCAAACGAACCCGAAGTTACGACAAATTTTCACCTATTATGAATAATTTGAAAAGATTTCAATAATCCATATTCTGTAACTTTCCTCTAATAAAAGGAGTTCTTTTCGTTTTTTAATAAATCTGTTTAGTTTAAGACAGCACAATCTTTATATAAATCAGAGCTGCTAAACAGTTACTAAACGTTTATAGTTGACTAGCTGTTTTCTCGCAACTTCGCTCGCGTAAATTATAGCCAGTATCAATAGCTAAAGCTTCCTGTAGGCGAAACATTCTTTGAAACCAGTCCAGTTGTTTCGAACCCTATTCAATGAAAACAAACAAACAATCAAATCGCTCCGCTTTATAATATTAGTATGGATTTATTATGTTAATTTTTCGTGTACAAAGTGTTCATTATGAGTAAATAAATGAATTACTTCATTCGTTAAACTGACCGGTTTACGACAGGAAAGTATCGTTAGATATTTTCTTCGTATAAGCAGACAAAATACGAATTTGTCTTTTATTATGCCGAGCGATTAGATAGCATGATTATCAAAATCAGCGACATTTCTAAATGGCCACTTAATCAAGTACTGATTTTCCGAACAGTTTTCAGTATAATCTTGACATTCATACAAACAATATCTTTCCGAATAAAACATTATGACGTCTCAACAAAATTTATAAAGCGCGCCAGTCTTATAATTACAACAACACTCCAATGATAGAAATCTCACTATCTTAAAATGAGAGTTTGCGCCTACGAATTTTAAGTCTTGGTATAATATAATTGCAAACATATTAGACGAGTGTACTTAGTGAGATAAAATTATCTGAAAATGAGGTTTGTTTGACACCTAACTCAATTTTAACATGAACCATGCGAATCAGCATTTGCTTTATTATATCAATGAATATAACGTTCCAGTTAATGAAATAAAAGTTCAGGATAAGCTGGTTTTGTTTCGGCAAGGTTATGCTACCGTTGCTGAAGATACCATTTTGAACAAATCCATCTTACGTCGAATTAGTATTGAAATGTATTTACTATGAAAAAGTTTTGTTAATTTTTTATGTTAATAATTAAAACTATTAATATAAACAGTGTTTATTAGGACAATGAGTGAAGTGGATTTGACAGCTTTGGCTCAGTCCAGTAAGTATGATGAAATAATATCATCTTTAGTTAATAGTGCATATAAAACAAATAAACTAAGACAACAGCACATACATCGCTCAGTTTCCAAGATGAGTAGCTAAAGGCTCCGTATTATGAAGTATATGAGATAACGAAGGCACCACAACACTCAGATTCGAGACAATATAGAAAAGTCATTTTTTACATTAACTCGGGACTTCAGCGATGACGACTCGTTGAAACCGGCGTGTAAACCACTCAGTTTGGAGGTAAATATTGAATACAAAATCGGAGGAGGGAAGTGAAGAGGAAACGAGATGAAACACGGGGCCAGTCAACGAGACTGACAGAGACAGATGGTATCATATTCCTCGTAACGAATAATGTAAAAGTGACATTTTCAATTAATTACACGAAAACCTCAGAATCTCAATGGCGCAGCAGTAAGCGCTTGTGGTCTACGACGGGGAAGTTAAGCAACTTTCGAAAGGGCCGGTGGGTGACCAAAATTTTGATCTCCGGAAATGACAAAACGTCTCGAGCTCCGGAAAGCACGTTAAGGTCCAGTTGGCATCTGCAGTTAAATAAATGACGTCAGGTTAAAAATACTGCAAAAGGTTGTATTAATCTAATACTCTGTAAGGTTACGACGTCACAAAAATTTACGTAATTCGATTGCATAATTTTGAAGTTGTCTATGAAACGTACACGCTCAGTCTTTTAGTACTATTTTGTTATAGAAAAACCGATAATCGAACTAGCTTTAACGTTCGATCAGCTTATATCAAATTGAAAAGGTAATAAAAGTTTAAATTCACCGAACCTCTATGCTGTCACAACGCTGCATTCGACGAATTAAATTCTCTTTTTAACAGAATAGCAAAACTGGATTCATCTTGTGTTATAATAGTAATGAACTATGACAATGTTATTTGAATAGCAACTAAAAGTAGATGGCAATTTTATTTGAACATCAACTGCTGATAAGCTAAAAGTAGATGGCTATAGTTAGATTGGACGTCATATTGGTTGGTAAATTTATTTCTAAAAATATTCGATACTTAATAAAAGAATTTCGTTGACGATCAGATAAATTGGAAAATAATCTGACGCCTAAAGTAATTATTTTTTTATTTTCCTATGAAATCGGTATTTCTCTATCTCCTTCAATATTTAACTTATTTAAGTTTCTTTGTCAACAAGTCATAATTTTTCCAACATTTTCATAAATTAACGACGATTTGAAGTTTTTTTTAAAAAATTTAAGAAATGACTATACCCTGCTTCCGGGATCATTTATAATTAAAAAAAAACAGATAGCGGTTCATTATCTATCGATAAAAAAGTGATAAGACGTCTATAGTTTTTAAATGAGTATGAAACCTTCATCAGCCTGGTAATCAGATTTCTCATCATTATACTGACACATGAATACTTGTTTATATGAATCTCAAACTAGTGAGCTGTGAGCATTTTGTGATGTAAATACATGATTATTATTAATTTATCTATTGTTATAATATAATATTATTTGTTATACAGTATGTTGTAATAAACTTTATATTAAATTAATTGTGAAAAAAATTGCTACAATTTTAAAATTGCGAATTTACCATTTACACAATATATTATACTGGGTCTATACATGAGTAATGGAGAAATATCTTTGCTAGTAAATTTATTTACAAAAACAAAAATTATATTTAATAATTTTTCGAATTACTTTTATAAACAATGAGTAAACGACCAACCAGTTTAGAAAACAAAATTAGAATTATGTAAAACAGGTAACTAAAAATCCCAACAGATACAGATACTGGTAAATATTAAATTCGAAATAAGACACTCACAAAATAACCTCCCATCTTGAATTCGAAATCCGTCTCATGTAATCGGATATGTGTGAACATTCTCTATACCCAGAAGTGCCGTAATACCTGTTCTTCCATATTTCATTCCGTTCTGACACATACAATTTTATATAAACGTCGAACCAACTATCTGCCTCATCTTTATTTTCACCAGGAAAATCTCTATTGCAAATTCTATACCACAATCTATCTTCTTTAACAATTCTATATAGCTTTTTACAAGTTTCACCCACGTACAAAACGTCCTTCACGGCGAGATACAACAGTATTTTGTGAACAATATCGTCCGGTAACCCGAATAAATTCGGACTAGGGTATTTGTGGTAATTCAATATACTACCTTTTATAGGATTAACGATTCTGTCTCCGAGTATAGTAATTAATTCCTTCAGATTTATGTAATCTGATGGTATACCCAATGTTGAAATGTTTATGTATCTATTTATTTTAACGCAATGCGTATAAGTTTCTATGTGCATGTCTGGTATAGTAGCTATGATTAGAGCTAAGTCATTTAAAGGGCATATAATAACTTTAAAAGGCATGCTTTGGAATCCATCGAGAACGAACACAGTCTCACGGATGGTTGACCTTATTGTTTTTCTATTAAGTATGTAATCTTCTACGGAGATTGCATTGCCTTCGGTTGTCTTTAGCAGATGGAAATTATTTTCTTTCATTATAATAAGCAACAAAGCAATGAATAGGTCCCATTTCAAACATTCTGGGTTGATTAAGGTGTCTATTATCGCGCTCACTGTCTGCCGGAACTGGGGCGGCAGCTCTTTATTCACCAAAGATATTGAGTATTTTTCTTCCATTACATTTGATTTATTTACTTTTTTATTTTTTTTAACATTTATCACTGTTTTATCATTTGAAATATAATTCACTTTATATTTCTCTTTGAACTCACTTCATGTTATTGACAACGAACGTCATTCTGCTCATTGATAAGATAGTTTATTTGTATGTGATATGTTAACAAAAATGCATCTAATCGAATAACATTGAGACCAGAAGGTAATTTATGTCAATAGTGCAAATATAAACAAATACTGTTTTAGTACTTGTCGGATAAAGATTGTATAATTGTGTCATTACATAACTTTATTTCTCATTTGCATTTGAAGTTCGAGTAAAGTTCCTGATTAGTGACATTTTTGACATCATCAAAGAATCATTGTATTGTCATACGATTCCATTATCCAATTCTAAAGCCTCTTCGTGAATTACTTCATCATTATTTATTTAATAAATCACCTCATTTCGCTTTGTAAAGTATTTGATTTCATTATATCACTTGTTTATTTGCTTTAATATCTGGTTGGGCATAATTGAAATACAGAAAAAAACGACAATAAGGATCACGATAGGACCAATGCCCCTTGGATAAAAAATAGGAGAAAAAGTTCTTTCTCTATGGATAAGACTGACATATCTTTTTAAACATTCAACATAAAAGCTATTTATAGAGAAAGTTAATAAATAAACCTAGGACCAAGTGCATAAATAGATTAACTTTGAGGATAAAATAGACTTGACGATACATTTATTTATTTATTTATTTATTAGGACATCCAATAGTTGTTACATTAAATGAATTATTAGAATATAATCGCTATAACATAACTTAATGCACAACATTCTAAGGTGTCACAACATGCACTGAAAAGCAAAATTCCATAAAAATCTAAACCCGCATTCGAATTCATGTGTGACCGAACGCACTTTGAAAATGAATCCGCTAAACCTTAACTTGTTATTCGCGTGTTTTGTAGCCATGATATATTAAGAAAATAGTAAAATCACACTTATAAAGATAAGTGTCTTAGTTCCACCTTAGTTCTATTCACTCCGCTTTCGACGGTGAAACACCAGCGGCATTTTTGAGTTGTACAGAAGTTCGAAATGTGTTTACAGACTTGCACTGCTGACCAAAAACAAAATACTCTGAAACTGCAACATGTTCACTCAGTTAATATAATTAATTGTTTCAATATAATTTCCGAAGATCTTTCTTTCATCACGTTCGCGAAACGACTAATCTTGTTTTTGTAATCTACAAAATAAATGTTCATTTTCATTCATTACTAAATTAAAACATCGAAACCGAACACCGGCGCTATATTAGCAAATGTAACAAATAAATCTCAAAGTAAACTACATTAGAAAATGACATTATAAAAGCGAAGCTTACATTTTCATCAATAAATAAATGAAAATTGAACATACAATTCGAATATTAAGTTATTTGTTGACAGATAGTGCTAATATTAATAACAAAATAATTGTATTAAGTACCTATCTCGGTGGTGTAGTGGATGAGTGCCGCGGCCCGCGAACGTTGTTGTTAAGCAACTTTCGCAAGGGTCGGCCACGGGATGGGTTTAGCCCTTGGCCCGCCTGCATTTACAGTCGTTAATACCCTCCAATCCGCATTAGCCCAGCGTGGGTTCATGGCCTATCCTCCTGAACCATCCATAAGAAAGGCCTTAGCCACTGCAATGGGGACGTAAAGGGCTGATGATGATAAATATGTTTGGCTATAATACAATTCTAAGAGTAACCTATTGTATACTAAACTCTAGAAATGATTGTGGATATGTGTTTGATTTCAACAGGTAATGAAAAGGATGAATCCAAGCCGCTTACTCCCATGCAAGAAGTGAATGCTGCTCTGAAAGAATGCGGGTTTGGGATATTCCACGCAAGACTATTGCTGACGTCGTTCATTGGTTATGTCGCGGGCGTGTTAGTCAGTACTTCTACATCTTACTTACTACCAACCGCAGAATGTGATCTACATATGGATTTAGTTCAAAAAGGCCTTTTGAATGCAATACCATATTTTGGTAAGCTGAATGTAAGACTAATAACTGATATTATTAAAATTGTGAATATTGTTCTCAAGATTACAGGTATATGGTATTGAGGATCGATGGTGCAGTAGTTGGCGCCTTTGGTATGCTATGCGAAAGTTATAAAATTTTTGCAAGGGTCGGCCATAGGATGAGTGACCAAAAATTCTCTGACTCACGCTTCTCTGTGCTTCGGAACGCACTTTAAGTTGTAACATCCACGAACTGAATCAGCGTGGGGGGGGGGGCATGACCCATTCTTCTTATTCCATTCGATTCCATCTATGGGGAAAGCCAGTGCTGTGTTGTGTTGACATCAATTTCAGTCCTTTGTAAATAAGCCACGGGGCAGAAAAAATATGTTACTACTCGTATTACCTCGATTTTGTCTTCAGAATTAGATTTTAGCATCAGGTGCCACATATAGAGTCTACATAAGAGTCTTAGTAATGGATTTGTACCCTTTATACACGAAATACCGGTCATCTTTTGTTTTACTTTTGTTCTACCTAATAACAGAATTTAATAACAGTCAATAAGAGAAAGAGGATAATTTAATTAAAATGGAATCGTGTCTAATATCAGTATTTTCTTCTTGAATACAATACGAGCACGTGTACCAAAGGATCATAAAATGAAATAGTACTAGATAAAAGTTTATTTTTTTATTTTTACCAAGAATTTTAATAGGATGAATAAAAATGAAATTTGTAAAAGTTGAAAAGTAGAATCATTGAAAAAATCATCTAATTAAGAACTCGAGTTAACTGAATCGATTGAACTGATAATTGATTTCATATGAAAAGTGAAAAATGAAAATTTATTTCTTATTAACATAAGAAATTATAATAAAGATTAAAAATTATAATGCGCTTTTTTCCTTTATGTCGTTTATGATAACAAAATAACCTTTTTTTGTTTCACGTATTATAAAACTCAAGTGATACTTTACAAAACATAAGAAATTAGATTTGAAATTTTGATCACCGTTGCTTTTATCAAAACCGGCTGTATATATTATAATCAACATTGTAGATGTATTTTTGAAGATATTGGTTTTGCGTAAGATGAACGTTTAGATGTCCGTCTTAACTATACAGCTTTAATTTGTTTGGTAGAAAAAAAAAACAATGCAAATAACAGCTTTACATATTATTTTTAAACTAACTCGTGGCTTCGATTTCAGGTATGCTATTTTCATCAGTCATCGCTGGTTTCTTAACCGATACATTTGGAAGGAAAATTTTCATTACAACCGGCTTTATCGGTATATTCGTCTTCACAATTGTGTCTGCATCCAGTCAAATATACAACGTATTGATTGTAGCAAAATTCTTTGAAGGTTTCCTGTAAGTACTATTATCATTATGGGAATTGTATTGTTTGACTGCTATTTTAGTTGACGTATATAATAAATCATTTCTTTTACTATTAGTATAAGGTATAAAATATAATTTTGATGATTTGCCAACATTTGCATTATATTATGAACACACGAAAAATCTACTCTGAATGAAGGTAAGTTATTTTTTCCTTTAAAATAAGATGATTGATTGTTGTGTACTATTCATGCAACCTCTGATAACTATTCAAAATAAGCTACACGCGACTTAGAGCTTAGTTACGACTTATATCTTAGTTACAGTCATTGCTATTTCATTAATTTATATTACAAATATAATTAATATCACACATTCTTTCCTAAAAATGGAATAATAACGAAGATTTCACCTGATATTTGTGTACGACATTATTACTAAAAAAATATTTTCCAAGCATAAAATTTGCCAAGTGTGATTTTGATACATTTGCTGAGGAGAACTGTGTTCGTTCCTTTATAATAACTTTGTGATTAATATATATGTTGTTAAATTTTAGATTCGCTACATCATTTAGTGCAGCTGTCACTCTGACGTCAGAATTTTGCCACAATGGCATCCGAGATAGGGTCTTGTTATGCCAGTCCTCTTTTATATCCATATCTCAAGTAATCATAGCAAGTATATCTTGGGCAGTTCTCACCAATGATTGGCATTTAAGTCTCTTCAACGGTGGATTTGGTAAGTTCATTTTGATATAATCATAAAAGTACACATTAATGTCTTCTGCACTAGGATATCACAAATGTAATATATAATTTGTTGTCTCAGACTAAAAAATAGGTAATACTAAAAATATTTTGTCTCTCTTTTTAGTGTTAAATACGTGGAACTTCTACTTATTAATAATGTCTCTATGGTCACTAACTGCGTGCTTACTATACACGTTTATGCCAGAAAGTCCAAAGTATTTGGTGACACAAAATAAGTTTGATGAATCGAGAGCTATATTGATTAAAATATACAAAACTAATACTGGAAATTCCGAAGAAACATTTCGGGTGAGTACTGTTTATATTATTTTATACACAAAACTTGTGACCGCTTTGGACACATAATATCACTCTAGGAACAGGGGTGACAATCTTTAGAAAATGGAAGAAGAGAATAGTCTTCTGATAAGTAGTAATTTGATAAACGAGATAATAAAGTTTTGATTATTAGTATTAGTATTATAATTAAGTAATGATATAAATAAGAGTGTTTTGATTTGCCTGAGATTCTTTTTTATTGAGGTAAAATAACTGAGCTTTATCGAGCCATGCATTGTTTCCAATATTGAATCTATCATACTATAAAAATATCAAATCTAAATAATATGATGACAGTAATTTTCCATTTTCAGTATAAAGATTTATGGAAAAACTCTAAAGCAACAATTCCAGAGGAAAGTGAAGATAAAGCAAAGTCATCTTTTGCACATCACCTAGTGGTTGGTTTACATAATATAAAACCGATGTTTCGGAAACCATTGGCAATATATCTGGTGCTTATATGTATAATGAACCTTTTTATAATGTTACTGTAAGTATCATTATCATGGGCACAAGCATTCTCCATAATCGTATCGAATAGGAAAAACTGGCCATAATTATTTTCGACTGCAGAAGCAGCTGGGATTAACAGTTTAAAATGTTTTCCCAAACACGGATGAACTCAAGATAATCAAATTTCGTCACCTGTTCTAAGACTTGCTCCTCGAAAATACTTAACCTCCGCGTCATTAATCGAACACTCTAGCTTTTTTTTGCCATGATTTTACCTAATTTCTGTACCATACACATTATCATCGAATCCAGTGCCATAAAAATTGTAATGCCGTTAAAACGGTAAGTGAGCTGGGTACTCAAGTTTTCAAACACAATTTTGGCACACCCAATATTCTTGTAAAATCGGTTTTATCATTGGAAGCAACCAGAAAAATAGAATCCACTATCTATAAGAAAGGAGCTGACATGAATAGACATTAATTTCAGCTATTAATATAACATCATGGAAAATGTTATTTTACTATTAAAATTACAATATTATTTTAAGATAAATCTTATATTGTAATAATAATCTAACAATGTCAAGGGATTGATATTACTACTCCGATTCAAAATAATCTTTTGTGATGGAATATTAGATCCTCAAGATAATATTAGCTCTTATAAATTTGGACAAAGAAATATTGTTACTGACATATTTCATTCTAAGTATACTGAGAATATAAATATAAGGTTAAGTAACAAAAGGCTGACATAACCGAAGTATTTTGTTAATAATATGTGTGCTTTATAACGTTGATATAATAATATTTTATACAGATACTTTCGTTCTTAATCAAAAGCTATATTCAAGAAGTTAATATTATTTATTATATTTGGAATGTAATATCTGTTATGCTTTACCTATTTTTAATGAAAACTTTGTATGATTAATTTAATTTAGAAAATATCAAGTTTTGTTGTGACTAAACTCGATGCTAGCTTGGAAATTATTTTGGCTTTTTTAACTTTTTGTTGTATTGACAAATCATCTATTAAAGTTATGTTAACGAAAAAATAGCCACAGAAACTTTTATGTAGAAAAAATATAAACGTAAAACCTAATGATCGATAACTAAATGATAAAAAACTTTCGAATAACTTTACAACCCATCATTCACACATTTAAATATGATATTGGATTTAAAAATACACTTTTTGAAACTTGCCTAAAATTTGATTAATAAAATTAGTTGCTCGCACTAAACGTAAATATTGTGCCGCGATTTTATCCTCGTACAAAGATTTATTTAATGTAAATGCAAAATGGATCAAATATAAAAATATTTCTTTTAGTTTTATTTTTGACAATGATGAACTTCCATACAAAGTTTTATCCCCTTCATCGTGATAAAAGGTAACTTTTAACCTTTCTTTAAATCAAGTTGGCGCAGTGATTTAGAAGTGAAAGACAGACAGAGCGACTTACTTTTGCAATTATAATATTAGATGGATTAATTAAATAGTTCTTGTTACTTATTTAATATTAGGAGCTCTTCCGTACTTCGGAAAGCACGTTAAACCGATTCGGCAGCGTCTGTAGTCAACACCTACTAATTCAAACTGGGCTCGCGTGGTGGGTTACGGTCCATTGTCCCTATTTGATTTCATCCAGGGGGAGGCCTCTGCCTTAGTAGTGGGGACGTTAGTGGGCTGGTAACAATAATAGATATAAATCTTTACATAACCACATTTTTCTTATAATATTTTTTTCAACATTAATTTATATTGACTGTCTTTTAAAATTCTTTGCAAGAGTCAAGTTTAAATTTACCGTAAATAATATAAATTTATCCTTAAAAGCCATATTTCTTGTTGTAACTATACTATTTTTTATTTGAATTTGAGTTTCATTTTACTTTCGTATTACGTCATCATATTATGTGCCTATCCATCTTATTATCAGGCGCTTTTATTTCGTCTTGTCTTTTATCTTTAAGTGCAGTCTTAACTGACATTTGCATCTTACACCAAAACTTAACAACGCCGTAAATATAACACGACGTTTATTCACACCAAGTTTTCAGGGTCACCTAGTTAGATAACTCAGGAAATAAATACAAATTTACCTTTAGTGAAATTTAACTTTCAGTTACAATGTTTTGCGGCTATGGTTTCCCCAAGTATCAGCTATAGTCGAACATAACAGTTTCTTAACGCCCGAGGGACAGTATCAAGACCTTTGCGGCATGCTTGACAGATACACCGGTGGTTTAAAAATTGTTAATACTACTTCAACAGATATATGTATTCCTGTATGTATATATTTTTAGTAAAGGTCATGTATTTACAAGTGATTTGTCAGTTTTGGTTAAAGTGATCATGTCTCAGTGTACAAACAGTAGATTGTAAAATGAAACTAAATAAACAGCGAGAATATACGATTACCGATTGAATTAATAATAATTAATTCAATTGGTAGTCGTAAACATTACTGGTATTCATCCTATACAATACAGTTTACTATTGCAAGTAGAACTAACCCAGAACGAGACTAGCTTAGTTCACGATGAATGTACTGTAAATTATTCTGTGTACAAGGATAACAGTAAATAAAACGAACACGACTGTACTATAATACTGTTATACAAACGTACATGAAGGTTTAATAACGACTTTAAGTCCTAATTATTGATATTTTATTGTTCTAAATTTGAAAATATGTATCGGTAATGTCGTTTTAAACTAATGACCATTTTGATATAAAGATCTGGCGTTATAGAACAAGTACGTACAATATCAAATATGAATTCGGTATTAAGGCAGTACAGAACTAAATCCATTGTTGTTTTCAGGTGAAAAGTGGTTCCGAAACTTATATCAACAGTATCATCATCGGTTGCGTTTGTATCATCCCTTATTTCATCAGCGGTGTCCTTGTCAACAAGATTGGGAAAAAGCCTCTTCTCATAGGCGCCACCTTGATCGCCTTGGCTATTACAATCAGTTTGAGATTTGCCAATTCCAAAATTGCTGTTGTATCACTCTTTGCTTTGGACTTGGCAATATCACAAATGCTGATGAGTCTGAATCAAGCTGTTGTCATTGAATTTTTCCCGACTACTACTAGGTTAGTATTATTTATATTTTGTTGTCTCACTCTTCGCATTGGAGTTGGCAATATCACAAGTGCTGATGAGTCCGAATCAAGCTGTTATGGTTAAATTTTTCCCGCCCACTACTAGGTTAGTATTATTTGAAATTTGTTGTCTCACTCTTTGCTTTGGACTTGGCTATATCACAAATGCTGTTGAATCTAAATCAAGCTGTTGTGAATGACTTTTTCCGAAAGAGGTTAGTATTATTTGTTATCTTTATTATGAAGAGGTAAAGTTTCATTTCTGTGGTTGTTTGATGGTAGGAACTAATCTTCGGAAATACAGATCCCATTATGAAAATTCTTTCATATTCGGGAAGCTACATCATACTCGGATGACATAGGCTATAATATACGTGGGAAAAGTCGCATGAAAACAGCAAGTGTACAAATAGATATATAATTTTCATGCCACAAAATATCCAACTCATTAATTTTGAACGATGACAAAAATATATAATTATGCATAAATTGACCTGTTGTAGACTGTAATCTTATTATCGGATTCTAAATTTACGAAATTATATACATACCCTTATCCAATTTTATACTTTAACTTAGAGTCGACGACCATCAACGAATGCAACACTCATTGGTGAGGTTTGTGGTTTTACGATATACTATATATACATAGTAATGACAAATATTGCTCTGATTCCAAATTAAGTAACTGTCAGCACTCGTATTATGGAAATCCGAATCAACGAAGGTGACACAACACCCAGATTCGAGACAATATAGAGTGTTCATTTCATTCCCATAGATAAAAGAAACAAGCAATCCAATCTTTCCTCTTTTTAAAATATAGAATTATTAGAAAATTAATGTACAAAATCTTCTTTTCTAAGACTTTCGCTATGTTGAATATTGTTATTTATATTTTTAGTGTTACCTATTATATAAAAAATATAAATGTCACTGTCAATATGAATATAACTAAAAAATATGAAACGAAAACTTAATAAAAAGTAGATTCGACTTAAAATTTGAAAAATATGATTAATAATAGGTACTAATCTCAAAAGCTACTGTTAACTTCATAGCTAACGCCTATCATTTACATAATAACTTTCAGAAGACCTCCACCCGACTTCAATAACATTTTTTTTAATAACTAGCTTTTGAGATAAGTATTATTTATCATATTTTTAGTTTGAAATCGGTTCTATTTTTTATGTTTTTTGGTGGATAAATTTGGGACAAATTACTAAGTTGGTAACACTGCTATAAAATCCATAATCATCATCCTTTATCGTTCGATCGTCGTTACTAAAGTACATGTCAAAGTAGTAAAATGACACATAATATCTCCATAACCATAAGATGTCCTATCCTATAGCTAGAATTAGGGCTAGATAGTTAGGAGGTCGCTCAGGATGGACCTTGAAAGTGGCAAGCAACCCACTCAATCACGGAGGTTGTAATTTTTAAAGTTGATTAATGTTGAGGATTAAAATTGTTGTCAGCATAATAGGTCTTTATGTTTTACCTTGTATTTAATTTAATAAATGGTAGCTTGCCCAATTATTTTATCGTTTACAAACCTTATTTTAAGTGATACTATTTATATTATACTTAGATTCTAATATTATACTGAGTAAATTTGTGTTTTTTTTTATTCTGTACGTATGTTGAAAGTGATTACGACAACTGTTTGTAATTGTTTTACCAATTGAAAGACATATAATTCCGAAGTGATGTAGGCTATATTTTACTTAACATAACAACTTGTTATCAATAGCTTAAACGTGAATTTTAGATTATATTAAAGATAAAACAGTTGAACAAGGATATATTTTAAAAGACGTAAAAATTTTATGTTCTTTTAAGCTTTCACGGTCATTTAAATTAGATTGATAGTTTCGCGGGATTGCTACCATGTATACAATGTTTTTGTTGAGTGTCCGATATACATTTTACGTTATAATAAACACACCAAACAAAACTCACAGCAATAAAAAAATAAAAATTATAAGTCATAAAAAATCGAATTAAAAGTCTAATGCGGCCGGCAAAGCTGCCGTCAACACTAGTCATAAAAAATAGTTATCGTAAAAATAAAAACTATGAAGTTTACTTTATATAAAGATATACTCATTTATAATCTAAAACAATTCATTATTTTCTTTTGAGTTTAGTGTAATTGACCCGAATGGCAATAAATATTTTCTGTGATGGGCTAACCAGTAATATCTCGGCACGTAACGAAAGCGTATACCTAATTAAGTTATTATCATGACATTAATTTAAAACCTCTTTCAACTTAAGGCATTTGTGAAATGTTGCGTGACTTAAATACTTTCTTTCGTTATTTGGTTTACCGTAACGTAAATACAGAATTTTAGTATGTAAACTTTTATATAATTTCGTTTCTTCCAAGGGTCTTTCAAGGGAATTTCATTACTTGAATTTGCTTATTTAAGTAACAAAGTTTTAGGGTTAATTTACCAAAAAATACTTGGATGTTTTATTCAAGTTAACAAAGCTACACGAATAAACTAGGATAATTTACATATAACCATCTATGTAGTAGAAATAGCTCTATGCATCTATATCCCTTTCGGGGGTGCGGATGTAAGTTTAATGAGTGACTCGCACCAACTCAGCGTCTATGTCACCATTTCTGAGGTCTCGGGTTCTATTCTCGGTCGGGTTAGGGTAGGTGTGTTGTATGTTTGAATAAAACCTTAAATAAATACACGTTAAACCATCATAAGGATTATGCCTCGTTTATAGAAAAGCGTGGAAACATTTTTTCTTATTAAGTTATTGCATTCGAAGATATCGAAACACCTAGATACTTGTTTTGTAATGAAGAATGTTGTTTTTGGTTCCAGAACCTTAGCAATATCTATGATAATGATGACGGGAAGAATTGGAACCCTAGTCGGGAACGTATCATTCCCTGTTTTACTAAAAATGGGTTGTGTCATACCATTCTACACAATGGCTGGAATGATGCTATGTAAGTATATAAACGTATCAGTTGTTCATTATCTATATTATCTACATTATCTATACATAGTACAAAACAAAACAAACACTTCCTGCTGTCTGTACGCTGGGATTTAAATTTTTTTATTTTTTTTATTCAGCATCCCTTATTCTCTTTAAATGAATTTATGTCTATGCGTTTGGATGAATATTCATTCCTACATATGAGTACATAGTACATAGTACAAAACAAAACAAACACTTCCAGGTGTCTGTACGCTGGGATTTAATTTTTTTTATTTTTTTTATTCAGCATCCCTTATTCTCTTTAAATGAATTTATGTCTATGCGTTTGGATGAATATTCATTCCTACATAAAGATGGGTGAGATAGGAAATTGACTAGATCTCTATGGTAGATGACAAGATATAATAATCATCAATATTTTATGACATAAAATTATATATAACCTATGTTTGTATAATCTAATTTGTGATAATGGGTATATATATATTATAATTTAATTTGTAATGTTGTAATTTAATTGACTTTGATATAATTGATTATTATGGACCGTAAAATAACCATTTTGACATTGTTAAGATACTTAATTTATTTGACATTCCTTCTTACAATGATTTGACCTTGTAACAACACCCTCCTTACACACTAAAATAATATATAAATAGTTAACTGCGTATAAATAATTTAAATAAAAAATCTTTAATAAAATAAATATTAACTTAATATTGGCCATAATTATAACGTTGTGATCGTCTAGTGGTAGGACTCCTCGTTGTGTATTATATTTGTAGTAACCTTAGATTCTTTGTATGAAGGTGATTGTGAGTGGTTAGAGTATATGTTTTTGAGGGCATGGAGAAGATTGTATCTTAAATTAATAAATTAAAATAACACTAAGGTGATAAAATATAGTTGTGTATAAAATAATAAAAGTGAATATTTCTTCTCTGGTAAACAAATAAAATATAAGAAATGTTTATTTACTAAATTCAGCTTAAATATTTGAAGGAAAGTTATAGAATGAGTCTGTTAAGTAGGAAAGGAAATAAGGTAAGTAAACAACAACAATGCCAGAAAATATGTAAAGAATAGAAAATAAATACAGCATTGCTGATGTTTAAAGTGCTTTCGAGCCCCAACCACGCTCAAAGCCCAGGGCCCACCACACGGCCCCTTAACCATTATTAACTCTAACCGGTCCAGCAAGGAATACCTTTCTAACCAAAAAATAAAACTACACCTTCAAAAAAAAGAAGTGCTCTGCAAAAGAGCAAAAGAAAACCCTATATGGTTCGTTAATATACCCAGACTGATGTCCTCCATAAAGACAATGGAACATAGTTTGACATAGCATTAGCGATCGTCCACCGGTACCACGGGGAATGCGCCATTTCGACCACTCCAGTACGGGATAAGGAGACAACTAACACGATATCGCACAGGACCTCACCAATATGGAACACACGCCTAGGAACATTAGCTACCACATCAGAACGACACAATAAAGCGAAGCCCTATAATTATTTGTCAATATAACAGGATTATTTGCCCTCCACTGAACGAATGGCACAAGCAATCAACCGAGCTATCTCTCACACTTCCGATACTGGCGGTGATCACCATCCTGACCCAGTATAGGATAGGGGATCATTGATACTGGTATCTCACCGAACCATACATTCAAATAGCGGACAACACCTACGATATTAACGAATGATCGGAACAACCCAATATTGTGACTTCTTTGAAAACTACGAAAACCTAGTAATAAAAATAAGTATGAACAGACTCTAAAGAGTCCAAATAAGAAAAAAGTGAAACTCATAAGAATTCTCATTCCAATCTGGACCGATAGAAATTGATATTGAAAGTTAGAATTATGAAACTGACTAGAATAATTCAAAGTGGTTATATTTTTTTATGTCAGGTTAGTTATGTGTTATTTGAGTAGTATGTTATGGGTATATAAATAGATAGTATAATGTAAAACATCTGAAAGACATAATTATAAGTAATTAATGATAAAACACACACAAAAACCCTACTTGATTATAACTCCTTATCATAATTTATCTGCAATAATATACCGCTGTAGGGTTTTCCTATCAATTTTAAGGATACTCGA